ATCACTAGTTGAAATGCTTGAAAGGTTTTCTTATAAAGCACTAGTTTAAAGGTTTTAAAAGGCTTTCCTACAAAGCGAGTGTAAATGTTTACAAAGAATACTAAATGAATTACAAATTGGTAATGTTAAAGCTTTTATGTTATGGTTTTATACAAGGTTATTAATATTTCCAAATTGTTTTAAGCTTATACTTAGCATATACATATGATGGCATATTGTGTGAATGGATTGCATAAAAGAAAGGTGATGATCATGTGTACACTAAATGTAGTTACATAAGCGTCAAGTAAGACCTGTACGTGTCTCAGTAGCAGTACGAGAAGATTTTATCGGGATGGTACCTCCTTCGTGAGGTAGATGTCTTATGGAAAAAAAGGCAAGATAAGTTGATCTGTTCTTCTCGTTTTGGCCTAGGCTTGGGGTATCACTAAAGGTGATTAGACAATATAAAAATCTAAAATCAATAATTAACCAATAAACATAATTAACAGTAGTAGCAAGAAAAGCACTAGTTGTAGATCATGCATTGCATGATTTCAAGAGAGAAAAAAATAAAGAACTAGTCAAAGACTCTAAAAGTAAAGAAAAGAGTTTTGGTAAAGTTTTCTTCAGAAGTAAAGTAAAGAGTTTTATATAAACTTTTGGAAAGTATAGTAAAAGTTTTGGTAAAAGCTTTTGAAAATATTTTTGTGCCTGGATTTTTTTCGCCTTACGTATCTCTTTAATGCCATGTACAATTTTTTTTGACCACTTTTGAAAAACATACCTTGTTGTCATAATTATTTTTACAACCATAACACTATAAACATTAAAAAAATATTGCATATTACAAGTTGTTTAAACAAATTAAGATTGGATTACCCACTCCTAAGCTTAAACTTTGAAAATCAGAAATGTTTGAAACTCATAACATTCATATGCCTATGTGTTTTGAGACATCCCCAAAATCACGACCAGAAAAGATCGGTTTCATTTATGCTTTTAAAATAATTTCAGAGTAAATCCTTTTGATTTAAAAGAGTTGCAAAATTTGTTCCCAAAACAAAATATGATAAAATAAAGTTTATCAAAGCATTTCATCAAGAGATGCATTTTCATTATATAACAATAATTGAAATGTCATGTTCCAATAAACAGACCAAAAGCATAAACAACAAAAGATAGATGATACAACAGTTACATATAACTGGTCTAATATCAAAAGATCTTGATAAGTCATCCAACTTATGCTCTCGTGCCACTACCTGTTATACAACAAAACTTAGTGGGTCAGACTTGGGAGCCTGGTGAGCATATAGGGTTTTCAACCCACAATAAATAATTATATTTAATTTCATCAACCAACAATAACCTGATTACTCATTCCCATTATCCTCACTTTATGTCCCTAAAACAACATCTATTACAGGGACCTAATCTAGGATTTTCATCGAGACAGACATTACTGCAAGGGGTTTCCTCAACAATAGATGTCCTAAAGGCAACCATAAGGGGGGATAGAGTACACCGGTGAACACATCGTTCACAACTCCTACAGGTTATGAACCTGCTAACGTTCCACAGGACTGTCTAGAAAGAGTCTATGGTCGTCATCCATACTCCGCTAGATGACTAGGTCAACAACAACAACATCGAGGCCTCTCATCAATTTATCACACATCAACTATCAACCCAAGTTTTACCCAATATTTTGTAGATAACAATATACATATGCAGCATTTTGTAGATAACAATATACACATAACACGTATTCACTCGGAGATACTTTATATCTATGTGTTAGAAGAAAAGGAATATACACTCACTTGATCAGAAGATGATTAGACAACACTATAGCTTTAACAGTAGTATCTTCGGTAAATCTTGAAGATCTTCACACACCGGGCTTCTCATAGGCAGAGCTTCGGCTCGGAAACTCTTTTCTTCTGCGGATCTTCGGGCTTCGGGACTCGCATCGGGTCTCGGGATGATAACGGAGCTTCAGAGGGTTAGAATAGGGCTTAGAGAGGGTATCAGGAGTGGGAGAGTAAGAGAGGAGCAACCTAAATCGGTTGACCCTTGATTTCTATTTATAGGGTGAATTTTCTGGGTTCACGTCGTGAGTTTCTAATGCTCACGTCGTGGGGCTTGATCGTCACTGCTTGCATCACTCGTCCACTTGGGTCTGCTAGCTCTGGAAGGTTAAATCTATGAGTTCACGTCGTGAACACAATGCTCATGTCGTGAACTCTGACACAATACCGGGTTTCGTGCCCCGAACTTCAGAAATTCATATCTTTCGCATATGAGCTCCGTTTTCGACGTTCTATATTTGCACGCGTAGGTAAAAACAAGATCTACAACTTTCATTTAGACTCCGTCAGCTAATTTTGACTTTATTCTTATTATATATTTGTTATATTATTTTTAGTAGGCCGGAACAGGAAAAATCCGTTAGAAAATCATAACTCCTTCGTCGGACGTCCGTTTTCGTCTGTCTTTCCGTCGTTGCACTACTATTGATGAGATCTTCAATTGTCATTTAGAAAGTTTTGGATAAATATCGCTCGATCTCATATTCGAACTTCGGACTGTCTACTGCTAAGCTGAAACTTCGAAAAATCATAACTTCCTCATACGAAGTCAGATTTGGGCGTTCTTTTTATGTACCCTCTCGGTTTAATGTATTCTACGAATTTCGTTTAAATTACTAAGGCTAGATATCGGTCTATCTTAAATTCGTATTTTACGTCATTCAGTGTCGTGCCGGTTTTGTCGCGAAACTTCGACAAGTCATAACTTCTTCGTTATAACTCGGATTTCGGCATTCTTTATATATTCAGAAAGCTCGTTATGACCACTATGTCTTCCTGTATCGATATCGGGCTTATCTAATATTTCATTTTAACTCATATTTTTATCCTTATTTCATTTAAGTCACACAATTAAGCACAAAACACATAATATTCAAATAATACATCTTTATTATTTCAAGATGGGTCACAGAGGTTAGCCTAAACTATTACATCGCTATTAATGACAAGCCCAGAAACATGGGCGTTACATGTTTGGAATTTTATGTGTTATTTGAAGTTATTTGAATTGCACGCTTAAGGAAATGTCGAGATAATGTCATAAATACTCTTAAGTTTGACCGAAAATGTCGATTTTGCCTTCCGACAGATTTTTGGTTCGTTTATGCAGCAAATCTGTAACTTTTTGTTGGTTTTACCATTTTTACCTATAATAGCATATTTCAAAGTTACCATAAAATATTATTTGTGAAAAACTCTTAAGTTTATTTTGCAAAAAAAAAAAAAAAAAAAAAAAAAAAAAAACCTAAGATTATAAACATATATTAATTTTACCGTACTTATATTATGAAATTAAAACCAAAACATATTTTTAACTTTAACTATTGTAAATTTTATATTGGTTCGATATAAACTTTTGATATTTAAATTTTATAAAATATTTAGTTTTATCCAGTTTTAAATATATTTCTTAATTAATACTTAAACTTTTCAAAACAAAATTAAAAAACATTTATTAGCTAATAATTAACTACGCTAAAATAGTTAGACATTTTAAACATATAAAATATTTATCTTTGTGTTTTAGAAATAATAACTTATATACCTATATTTATATTTATAAAAAAAATATAATATTATATTATTTCTGAATTACAAACTTTTCAGACATATAAAATAATTTTATTTTCTTTAAAAAAAAATTAATTGCATGGAAATAATGTCACCACATGGTGACCATGATTAACTCTAAAACTACTTTAGATATATACAACGAATCCACGTAAATCACATATAAGAATAAGATTAGACAAACATATATCACATAACGACTTATTTGAAAAGAATTTGGGATGACACTTAACACTTAATGAGCAGATGTCGAATATCTTTTTGTAGAGTTGTTGCAAATCGAACATAAAGAATAATGAATGTCAATATCACAACTAGCTAAGTTTGTTTTGGTAGGAAAGCATATTAACCTTACTAATGGGTCGTTTAATATTTGCGAACTAAGTTATAGCTAAATGGGTTAGAAGCCGACTGAGTTAGAAGTTCTAACTGAGTTAACTTCTGACTGAAACTTGTTTGATTTTGCGTCTGACTGCCTGTGTAAAATGACTATATTACCCTTAAACAACATTTTTTATGTTTTTAAATCATTCTTCTCCATTTATGTTTTCTTTTTTTACACAAATATACACATATTTTTCGCATACACACGTATACACTCATAAGTTCATTAAAATTTACATACTACAATACCCTTTTAAAGACAATAAATAGAATTTTCATATAAAATATTATAAAATACAAACTTCAAAGTACAACATACAATTAAAACCCATCGGCATCGTGTCATCAACAATAACCAATAGAAAATTAATAACAAAAACTGACCAAAAATACCAATGTGAAGATGTTCTTTCTTAGACCATGATTCACATTTAAAAAAAATATACACTTTAAAAGTTCACTCCAACTACAAGACAAAATTGTTCTGAAAGAGATTTGTTTATCTTCACCCACGATTGTGAATGTGTTGTCCATTGCCTGTGACCAAAATGTGAATTCACATGTTTTGAGTTGGATAGTAATCTTCTACGCAAATTCAAAGATGACCCAAGATGCAATTCAAGTGCTTGAACATATGAGGGTTCATGGCTTAAAACCAACTTTATCTGCTTAACATTATTGGTTAAAGAGAGATTGACAGATACAAATCGTAAATATATTTTACAATCACAGTTCAAGTATTTCAATCTTAGTCTCGTAAGATTGAATTGAAAGTTCCTCTCAAATCAACATAGATCCAAATGCCTCATGAGGAAGAAATGATAATTTGATTGAATGGGGTTCCATGAACTAGATTGTAGTCAAAAGTGTATAGAGTTTGAAGTAGAATCACTCGAATTCCAACCATTGGAAATCAATTCCAAAATTAAAAATATCAACATATGAAACATGGACAAGGCTTCGAATTTAACTCCACCATTATATATATATATATATATATCACCAATGATCAACATCCACATCGATGAACAGGGGCAACATTTACGAGGGAAAATATGTAAACAGTTAAATTTGATCCTAATGACTTTTACAAGTTGTCAATAAAAATAACAAGATTTGAATATTAGAGCATACAACATGATCAAAATTGTTCTCGATATCTCGATTTAGCAATTGGAGCGACGCAGATGGAGGGGAATGAGGAAGATGGTGGCACCTTTTTTTGTTTAACCCTAGCACACACATGGACGATAGTGTCAGTCAAAAGAGAGAGGAGGACCCAAATGGAGGTAGTGACAGATGGAGGTGGTCATCTAGTGGTAGTACCGACGTAGGAGGTGGGAAAAAAGAACGCGTGGGAAGGAGAGGGCAAATCAGGGGAAAATGATGGCATTATATTTCTACCAAATTGAGTTCGGTAATTTTGTGGACTGAGTAAGAGGTAATCAGGTAAACACTCTAAACGTATGATGTAACCCGATCAACATCAAATCAAACAAACCCTAAGAAAGATTTTATTCTATTTGGTTTTTATAGGAAGTGAAGTCACTTAGAAAATCCTTACTAACATATTCCAAACCATTATTAAGATTTATAATCTTTAAGGGTTTCATTGCAAAGCATTTGTAACTTTAGGATTTTTTTGGCAAATATATTTCATGGTAACCTACTATTACAAGTATAAAGGGCAAAATTGACAAAACAATGACAAACTTTGATGTATGAACAAACAAAATATTCAAGAGAGGGTAAATCCAACATTTTCGGCCAAACTTAAAACTTTTTTTCTCATTATCACGGAATTGTCTTGCTAAATGCTTAAAATGTGATACAAAAGAGATGTAAGGTGAAGAATGCCAATGATTAGGTGTATGTGTATGTATATAGAAAAGACTAGAACTATATGATTCATTTCAACTACACCATATTTCCACTTTGAACTTGAGTTATTACTTGGTAGCTATATGAAGTGTCATAAACAAAGAAATGAATCAAGTGAAATTGCTATGAATAATTAGCAAGAATAATTCTTATATGTGAGAATTGGGTCTAAGAATCGCTAAAGAATGCTAGATGCTTAATACCATGATTACGACCACAATAACCAAAACTTAAGGAAAGTAATTGCAAATTTTCACAGAATTAAAAAGTCAACATCACCAAAAAAAATCCTCACAAAAAATCTAAAGCCAAATATTGTTTGTCAAACATTGATAGAAAGATATGTATGCCTACTTTCTGGTATTTGCAATCATCATGTAAGTTCTACCAAACCATAGGGACCAATTGTGTAATTTTATCTAAACGAAGGAAAACCATAAATTTCACATTTGACCATTTTGACCATCATTGACTCAGATTATTACTCGTCCAAACTTGTACAACAATTACGTAGTGCTATTTAAAAAACAAGTTCTTGGATTCAATTTTCTTGTGAAAAACATTAAATAAAAGAAATGAGAAGGCATTAAATAAGAAAATGATATAAAATAAAATCCAAAATGACTCAAACCAGAGTTTTGTAGAAACAAATAACAGACGTATGCATATGCATTAACCCAACAAACGTACCATAACATCTGTAACATAAAAATCCATTCCCCTCACCCACCCAACCCTATTAATTTATATCTATACTCATAATAAACTCAACCAGACTCAATTGACCCACCAAACTGACCCATCACACAAATTCAAGACCCAAACCCGACTGACCCAACTGACCCAAAATGACTCCATTCCTGCAACATCATCTCTTACAGATGCTGACTCAACAAGACCTCTCATTAGGTGATGTTACAATACCTGGTATATATGTGAGATACATGATGATGATTTATGTAGATGAAGCTGCTTCAACTTCTTTCTTCTCTTCTGATTCAGTTGCTTTTTCAGTCTCCTTCACTTCCTCTTTCTCCTTCACTTCCTCTTTCTTTTCATCTCCAACACTCAACTTCTCAAGCAATCCAGCAGCATTTGAAGCATCTTTGTTCTCTTCTTTTCCTTGTTGGGACTCTGCCACTTCTTGAAATGTTTCCATAAACTTCTTGCAATCTATCATACACATTACAAGATGAAATTAACAAAACAAACCCAAAATTTTGTTTAATAGCAACTGGAATGGAAAGTGGGAAGAAGGAAAGATCAGTATGAAAGTTGTGATCATGTGCATGAAATGGAGTGGAAGGATGGGAGACAAGAATGTAGGGAGAAGTCTAAGTTGGCATTCAATACTAGAATGCAACCCACGCCTTTTGTTACAACCCTTGACCAAAAGCATATACTAAAGAATATGCAAATGGTGTTTTGTATGATGTTGAAGAGGTTGCGAATGTCGCAATGTTATAACTTAAACAAGGACAGGGGCCCTCTTCTGGAGATTACCAACGTCTACCTTCACTTTCACTACCATATCATGCTCAGACCTTTTACTTGAGACATCATATCAATCCCAGATTTCAAGACATATCATAGATTGGAATTTAAACTCAAATTTCACTAGAAATAAACGAGAAAATATAATCGAACAGAAGTAAACTTACTGTCAATTGATCCGAATCTAATGCAGAAAAGCTCATCCTTGAGTTCGCCGTCAGAAAAATCAGCAGCATGCCACACACATGACTTTTCGTTTCCAGCGTGTTCTTGAACAGTCATGGTAGGGATAACTACATAACATAACAGATGTGAATCAGCAAGGTATCCAGGATTTGGTATAATCAAATCGATAATACGATCTAACAGATTCAGGTTTTTATTTATCCATACCTAGATGATTGGCGCAGATCTTTAAGGTTTTAGATTGACGCATAACGAGACGGACTTTTCCAGTTTGTTTGTGCTTTAAGAACTTAACTGAACCAGCACCTCGTTCTTTCCACTGGTTTCCATCCTTATCAAACCGATATAACTTGGCTTTACTAAAAATTGAAAATAATAAAAGTTAAATTTCAAAACTAGTAGCATAAACAGCAAAACAAAGTAAGATCAGATCGAGAAGAAAATATTACAGATCGAGAATAGCGTCTTCGTCTTCTTCCCCAGTGGTGACAGCGACTTCTTCAAGTTTGACAATCGGGGCGACCTGTGCTCCGGTGTCTTCGTCTTCGGCTGCGACGGTTTCTTCCTCCTTGTGCTCTGGATCGTTGCTTGCCATTGAAGTTGAAGATTGTAGAGATCGAAAAAGCAACTGTGTGTGACAGTAAGAAGAATGGAAATCGGAGCTTCTGGAGGCAGAACGGCGGCCAAAGGTGAGGGTTACATACAATTATACAAATGGAGGAGTTATGTGTTTTTGTGCTTCATATTGGGCTTGTACTTGGGCCTAATTTTATGATTAAAGAGTATGGATTCAATTTGGGTTTAGCTAATTTAGGCCCAATCCTTTTAATAGTTATGTTTATCGATTAGCAATTATTTTTTACAGGAAAAAAAATTGCTCATGCTTCCTATGTGGATGGAGGTGGTTTGTGATTACTGATTTATATCATTGCCAAAGTTTTCCCTCTTATTTGGCTACACATTACAACCAATAAGCCAATAATCTCGTTTGAAAATATTACAATATCAACTTAGAATATCATTCACTAGTATTTCAGAACATGTATTCCTTTAACCGTTTAACTAGTAAAATTAATCTGTAAAACTACATAGACATGTTAGCATTCACAAAGATAAAATGGTTCAAACGGTTCATATGGTCCATAAAAGAAACATTACTCATCCACACATACATCGTTTTTCTGGTTAATACTTTATCCATGCTAATGTCTCTCCACCATTCATGCATTGAATATATTTTAACAAAAGGTGGTTCATTGTGTCATGTTAAATAAATATAAAACGCACAAGTTTTATCTTTTGACTTATTATTTGTTAATAAATACCTGAAGATATAAATTCATTTACCTGTAAAGTATCTGATATATTGTTCATTATATGTTCTCTGAATTTGCAAGCCTTATTTGTTGGTGATTTTATATCATCAATGTGTATTTAAGTGCAATGGAATGACTTGTTGACCAAAAATCAATCTTGATGAATATTAAACAAGTAAGAAAGGTACGGAGTGCACACTTGTTTAAGTTCATTCAATATTCAAAGTAGACCGTCATTTGGGGACATATGTTAATAAAAAAATATTAGTAATTCATCATCATATTTTAAGAAAGCTCCTTTATATCTTCCGTTTGCACTTCGTAGAAAGACATATTTCAGTAAAGGAATTTGAATTGAAGATGATAATAACATAATTCTTCTAAACGTTAAGACGACATAATAATACAACATACCTGGATAAATTTTCCCAAACATAGAAAATGGGATTAATTCATAATTTATCTTTGTGGATTAAGGTAACAAATTAATGTGTACATAAATTATTTTACATGATTGTCACCATTTTTCCTATATGTTGGCCTTCTATTATACTTTAATGTAAAAAAAATCATTGGATAGTCATTCTTTTAGATAATTGTATATATCTTATGAAAGTAATAGAATATATAACTTACTTGGAAAAAATCTACTTAATGAGAAAAAAAAAAGGGGGGGGGGGGGGGGGGGGGAACATGTAAAGAGAAAGAAATAGACCAAGTAGGTATACATTGAAGTCAATATAAAAATATAACCTTGAAAGCCACGTCAGGAGGGTGAGTGTAACATCTCGATTTTCAAAACAAAATTTTCATTTTTATTTCACCAAACATTATTCATAAATCCAAGTCATTACAGAATTATAAATCATTATCAAAATAATATCAGAGTATCTCAAAATCCACAAGACATCATAACCTGGCAAATGTGTACAATCATGCATTTGCCATCTCGAAATCTACAAAAGTACCTGAAACACATTTAAATCAACATTGTAAGCACGAAGATTAATGAGTTTCCAAGATACCATATACACAAATAGTTAGCCTCTCATGGCTATATCTCGATAAGGACCCTCTGGTCATGTGTCCCAATGAAGGCCCTCGGGCCTCACGTCTCGGTATGGACCCTACGGTTATAACTCAATATATATACACATAATAATATCATAGCATAAGTCACAAAGACATAATGCATAATAACACATATCTCAGTATAAGCAAATAAGACCCTCCGGTCATGTACTACAAATAAGACCCTCAGGTTCAATACTACAAATAAGATCCTCCAGTCAATAACACGAATAAGACCCTTTTATCACACATAAATTACCATACATGTAAGTATAGTGAGAAGACTCACTTCGGATGATAAACAGATCCTACATATGTTGCTGCTGCACACTGGCCCAAACACTGAGCCAAACCCACAACTAAACTCGATTAGGATCTAAGACTAAGTCCAAACATTAAGTCTAAAGATGGCCCACTAATCCTTCCCACAAATGGCCCAAGCCCATTGGGCCTACTAAGGCCCAATACCAAATGGGCTTACCAAGGCTTAAACCCAAACCTAGGACCAAAAGGGCAAACCCAACAAAAAGGGTCCAAAACTGTAATATTTCTCTGTCTAAAATCCCAACACAAAAGCCCAAGACCAATACCCCAAAGCCTTAAGGTCCAAAATAAAAAATGAGCCTAAAAGCTCACAGCGAGCTTACACGTGGCGTACCCTCTTGGTACGTTCAGCGTACTCGTGATTCGGGATGCGAGACTTAATTAGTATGTAGGATGTATTTAAGCATTATGCAGGGCGTAACTGCTCAGGTCCAAAACTTGAATATTGTCTTAATCACTTAAGCTTAATGCATCCAGCTCTTAGGGAAACTTCATTACAAGCCCTTAACTAATAAAGTTAGCAACTTTATGAGTTTGCATGCCTTAATGGGACCCAACTTCCAAAAATAACCATTGAGACTCATATTAAGCACCTTAACACATGCTTGGATAACCCTTAACCCTAAAGGTGCTGACTTTAAGGGTCTAGAACCTCATAAATTCTAAGAGTGGCAACTCAAAGCTCTTGAAGTGGTAACAACCACTAGATCTCATCCATGAGATCAAAAAAGAACACAAATCTTACATAACCATAGCTAGACTTCTAAAGAGCAAGTTAAGAACTTTATACCTCAAATGAGCTAGAAATGGAGCAGTGAGTCTGGATCTACAAGCCTTCCTTTGAACTCCAAACTTGCACCAAACACCTTCTTCAAGAACATGCACCAAAAATACACCAAAGGTACAAAATAAGCTCACAACACTCTTGGGAGGGTTAAGGTTTCGAAAATGGGTCTCACGGTTAGTGTAGGCTGGGATATGAAGATTAAAAGAGCCATAAATGCATTTATATAGTATCTAAATGTCACACCCCCGAACCAGGACGACGGAAACGTTCGGGGGTGGATGATGTCATCGTATAATATCATAACAGTTGAATATAAATGAAACATAGCAACCAAACATCATACATTAAGAATACAAACTTACATAGTTTACATATGGTATTTATTAGTTACACAGAAGTGTCAAAAAGTAAAATTCCATATTGCAGTATCACTTATTCTCGAATAAGTTAATTACCTGTTACTGGTTCCCTGAGAATACAAGTGAATTTGAAAAGCGTCAACATTGAATGTTGGTGAGTTCATAAGCATATTTTGTATGAAAAGATTTATATCTGCTTTGTTAAAAAAATGGTTTGTATATATTAAGAAAATCCGATATTTTCTATAGAAGTTAGTTTATAAGTCTTACACCAATGATAAAAAAAATGTATGTATGCACGCACTTTGTTTCTTTTTCCTTGTAATTGAAAATGTAAGTTCCCAGAAAATCCAATATTTTATGATGTATGAAAACGGTAGCCTTAAACCTTAAGACCAGAATGTAAACCATAGTGTATTGAAAGGTAGTAAGCAGGTTTTAAATTTTAAATAAAACCGGTGGAGTGTAAGCTCCCCGTAAACTAAGATAGTATTGTTAATCCATATGTGAGTTATAATAACCATGTTCGATATGATTGTTATGTCCGTACGACGTTCTTTAGGTGTCAGAATAGGTAAGATATTTGTCATCCTAGACTGGCCCATCTAGCTATAGCGAACAGCTCGGATGTGGGGTTGTCAATCCCCGTATAGATCTATACACAACTATATCGCTCTCCCTCCAAGAGACTCTGGTTATAATGCATGACTTAAAGTGTACGCTAGGTGGATACGGTGAAGAGAATGTCTCACTAGAGCATTAACGGATTTACGTGAACTATAACTCCCTTTTTCTTGTATCATGAAATAGTTACACTATTGAAAATTTATGACACGTATGTTTTATACATGTGTTTTATGCGTTTCATGACATGTGTTTTATGAAACGTGTTTTGTAAATCTCTTGACATACGTTTTACAACACATGTTTTATGACATATAAACTATGCCAATAATAGTTTTCTCTTTTTTTTATGTTTTCGTGTAAACAGTTTATATAATTTGTTATATAACTAAGGTTGTTAAAACACAATATTCTTGAGTTTATCCCACCATAATGGCGATGACTAAAATATGAATATTTTTACTAGAAAATCTATTTTTAGTAAAAACCTCCAAAAAATTGTATTTTGCACTTTTTATATTTTACCAGTTGGAAATTCATTACGCAAAATGGTTTATGTATGTAAATTCTTTACCATTCAAATACAAAGGATCATGATTTTTATAACAAAATCAAATGATATCCTTAAAAAATATTTGTGCAATTTTCGATCTGACAAAAGGGAGACATGCAAGTGTCCAAGAGCCAAACATATTTTGGACTAAAATGAACATATGTTTTTGTTACAATTGTGTATATCGACCCATAGGCCCCATAAAAATGCTGATAACCGCAAACATCACGATTTTTATGTACTAAGCTAGTATTATTTACTTTCTATACAAGAAATTTCCTCCTTATTCAACAACAAACACGGAGCATGTTTGTGTCTAAGGGACAAACACAACTTGGTCATGTAACACCTTATAAAGTACGGTTTTATGGTATAAATATATGGTGATTTCAACATTTTATGCACATATAGTTGGATTAACAAGTTGATGCATACAAATATCCATTGGGTAAACGAAATTTGACTTGTATCCCTCCCCCCCCCCCCCCCGCCCCTAAAAGCATGGAAAACACGAAAACTTGGGTTGTGAAGCTCACCTTGGTTGTTTTTGTGAGTTGTAGGAAGGTAGATGGAAAAAATGTCAAGCTTAGGATGAAGTGGATGAACTTTGAAGAGCTTCTTGGAATGGTTGGTGTTCTAGGGATTATTCACACGAAAAATGTGTGT